AAGAAGTAAAATGTCTTTACTGCTACAATTCATTTGTAAGGGTGCTGATGCTTTTAACTGTGTATAGGTCTTTAGAAAACATAAAGAAATAATATGTCTTGAGTAGTTTCTTGTAACAGAGGAATAGTATGAGTCTGTGAATGTTCTCATTCGTCCAGGTCATAGTTATCTCTCTCTCAAATTAAATCGAAGGCAACTGGACTTGTATTTGTCTGTGGAAGACGTTTCGCCTCTTATCCAAGCGGCTTCATCATATATAATATATAGTATAATGAGTAATCACTTTTACATACTTCTTCAATGTCTTTTATGAATAAATAGTTTAATTACAAAGATCCTCCTTTGGGTTATGTTTTATTTTACATTGTGAATCAGTTTTTTCATTAATCAGTAAATTAAAGTCTCATCTTGATACCATTATCCCTTCACTTTGGACAGTAATTAAATCAATTATTTTCTCAGTTGTACTCGGGCCTTCCTCAGGGGGATTAAATATATTAACAGTTTTTTTCAGTTGCTAACACACTAAAATGAGACATAAAGCAAAATTATTGAAACTTATAGTGCAAAACCTCAGCTCATGTCTCCAAAACTCGCTTTGCACCTAAATTGCAATTCAACATGACATTTTTGGCATACACTGCACGCAGTTCTCTATGTAAAACACAGAAATCTAACTTAAAGTCATTTATTTGCCATTTCAAAACACCAGTGTTCAAAATGCCACACCCAGGGACCATTTGGCCAATACACATACCACCTGCCAAACACCTAACTGCTTAATTGTTGACTCATCAATCAGGATGTAAGCACTGCAACACAACGGAAGCAGGACTTGAACAATTTCTCTCAGCAGAATTCTCTTAATTGAGAGCTATGATGACAAGACGGCCAAAGATTAAAGTGTTTTGGATTGAGCACAACAGTGTGTAGTTGGTTGAACAAGAATGTGCTAATATGAATGAAGTGATTGCCATTGGTGCAAAAGTTAGATTTTGATAAGAGTTTATGCAGTTTTGAATGCAATGCTTCATTTTGCAGAATATATGAGGTATTGTGAATTGGGTTTAGTGTCTTGAAGAAATGAGCTGTTTTCAAAATTGTGCTTAAGCAATAAAAATCTATCTTCTCCACCACCAAAACATATTTTCCTTTATGTATTCTCTACTTCAAAAGGGAAGTGGTTCCTCCTTGTGATTATCACTCCGCTGCTGGATGAGTGACAGGATGAATAGAAAACCTGAGAATTTAATAGTTCTGCCAATGTTTCATGTTCAATGTGCTTCTCACGGGAAGACAACATCTTCTCTTTGATGTTTGCTGCCTTTAATGAGCCTGTTCAGACAATTAACAGAGTGAAGTTATGTTCATGTCCACACACACTTCCTGTTTTTCTGTTTTAAAGTACATGTTTCCTGTAGACCTTTTAAACCCATGTACATATTTTAAAATGCCTTGTTTTTAAAAACATAAATAGATAGAGTGACTGGAATCTTTTATTTTTCACTTTCTTTCATTTTGCAGTTTCACAACAGTTGATCTCCAGGGTCCATTGGGTTTGTTGGTTTCTTCCGATCTGACCTGGGGACTCTTTCTATCATCAGATTGAATTCAGGTGATTTAAAAGTTCTTTAATGAACAGCTAGATAAACTTATTGATTACATTACAGAAGTAAGGATAATAGCCTCTCTGCTGTAGCCACTTCTTCTTCTGTGGTCACTGAGTTCAAATCTGTGCATTGTCCATTTCAGGAAGAGCCATGTCTGGATTCATGATAAGCTTTTTTTAACTTAGATCCTCACACAGGTCGCCTTTCTTTTGGTTCACCAACACATATTAGTTATTAAACTCTGAAACTTGGAGCTGCTTCAGTTGTCACAGGTGTCTCTGCTCACTCACCTGCTCAGAGGGAGATGTACTTCTTATTACCCTGCATACTTATGTGCCTGCAATGCAATAGTATTGAAGGCATATATTGTTATTGTGCATACTTATTCATCTTATTTAACTTCCGTATTTAAATTTTTGGGGCGTAACTAGCTCCACTCATGGTTCTGATAGGAGTTAAAGTTCTTTTCAAAAATAGCAGTTGTTTGAGATGCTTGGCGAGCCAAAATCTCACTCAGCTCTGTGTCAGGACTTCCAGCTAGACACAGATGTTCGACATGGCTCGTTAGGGCACTCTTTGATTTCTGTGATGTTTACAAACACAGCCACACAGACACAGACACACAAACAGGCAGAAAGCTGTTTACAAATTAGTGCTCATAGAGAGAGATTACAGTTCATACTGGACAAATGGACAAAGCTGATTCTTATTGGCTAATTGGACTTATTAACTCTTACCCCTTTAATCTCAAGTATGAGAGCATGTATGAGGCAAATCAACACTGTGTAAGTGTGTGTGCTTGTATGTGCATGTGCATGTGCGACACACACACACAACCACCACCATCACCACCCCATTTTTATCACTGATGGTAGGCTAAATAACAGAATCTGGATTACATCTCTGTATAATGTAATATACACTACATCCTCCACAGTGATCAATTGAATCAACAACTGTCAACTGAGTATATTAGTAATTATCAGGTGTATGCTCAGGCTCCAAAGTGCCTAACTACAATTAATTGGTTGATTTTGTTGCTGTTCTCACCTGGGAACTGATATATCTGGTAACATAAAGATGTTCTTTAATTTTATAGTTTTATCATATATTATTATTATCACCCTATAACATGTTTTACCCCTCCCTCCCCATTTTCAAATGTAACACAGTAACATGATTATTCAGAGACATTTTGACTGACTTACTTCGTTCTTTTATCTGAGAACATTTTTACACAGTGATTTACTTCTACTGATGTCTTGTCACTAATACTAGTGAAGCTGTTCATGTGTTGACATGCTGAGTCAGTGTGGTGTCCCATCTCCAGTCAGTTTCTGTTACTGGTAGAGATGCTCCGTCTAAACACAGTTAATGTTGCTGTTTTTGAAATGGGTATATTATGGACCCAAATGCAGCACACAACTGGATATAGTTTGAGGCAGATGAGGAGGTGTGACAGAGTGGAGAGTGAGACGGAGGCGGAGACGGGGTGAGTGGAAAAACACCAGGGAGCTCAGGTAGGAGCAGGGGCGGATTGTGACAGTTTTCCTCATCACAGTGTCTAACTACCTGCTCTACATTTAAATTTACACTAGTTCTGCTCCAGCACTCAGAGCTCTCTGCTCCTTTTAGCAACTTTCACTAACTCAGCAGCAATTCACATGCTGCTCAGATCTGCTAGTTACTTTAGCTTAGCAGTAAGCACTAGCTTCTCTCTCCCTGTCTCACGCTCACTGTGTGGTGTTGTAACTTCAGTGTAGAGGATTGTGATGTTTATTACATCTTCAGCAATGTCTGCTCTAGGCACAGCTCCACTCGCTAACTGGAGCTAACTGAGCACTCTAACTGCCATCCCTGAAAATTTTCCTCAAAAAAAGTCAGAAAAACCCTTTTTAAATCCCAGTTTCCAACCTTCATTGACTATTTTTATATCAAAAATGTAGAGATGCTTTTTGTCCTGTATCACCTAGTTTTGGTCTCATTCTGATATCTTTCACGGTTTTTGAGGAAATCCCCCCAAAGTGCAGAGAGGGCTGTCCAAAGCTCCCATAGCCAAGTTAAACTTAGCTCTGAAGCTCTTGCCCTCAACAGATTGAGGGGAGTTTCCATGAAGTCTTTGGGCAGCTGTGGTGAGGTTATCTTTTCAATAGGACTTAGTTTTCCTTGTGTGATCCAATTGTCAAACACATTTCATCTTAAAAGCTGTTGTCTACCTAGAGAGACAGAGGGGATTGTGTGTGCCCCCTGGTGGCCACAGTCGCTATAGCATCCAGTGTCTCAGCAGGTGCTACTGACACTTACTGGGCAGAAATGGGGAAAGCTGACTCTGTTTGGCTAATTAGAGTGATTAACTCTTAGCCTTTAAACTCACGTATGAGAGCAACTCTAAGGTAAATCAACACTGTATTTGCATAACCCCATCACCAACATATGGATATTAACTGTATAAGTGTCTCAACCTGGTAACACAAGCTTTTTGGAGGCTCTATGCTAGACAGCTCTACTGCCACACACAATACACACACGCATTGACAGACACACACAAATACCATCTTATTTTGAAGGTGAATATCAAAAAAGTAAGTCTCAACACACACATATATAGACCCTAACCCTAACCCAGAAACACAAACACCATCTCCATGTTTTGAATAAACCTTCAAAATAAGTCTCAAAAAGGTAAGAGGTAAGGTAGGTCATAAATGTTCGATCTTAGAAGCTATCGTCTATATGTGACATAGTGGTATAGCTTTATTGCAGATCAACTTCTATAAAGGGCATGTACATATGTGTATACATGTCTTGCTATGGTTGTGGGGACAAATGTGGGTTTGAAACCATCAGTGTGAGGTTATTTTGGCCAGTTGTGACAGCTTCAAAAGGCTTGAGAAGGATACCTGTAGTGACTAAGGTCAGAGTTAGGATAAATCTTTACAACATGAATGAAACTCAAAGTAACGTCCTCTGTAGAGATTGAAACGTGTGATGGATACGCACCAAGCAACAGGCACATTCAAAATTTCTTCAGGAATTTTCTAGTTTAACTAATTATCTAAAACCTCAGGCTGCACCAGTGGTGGTTCAGGTGTGTCCTGTTAAATGAGATGAACACTATTAACACATACAGGAAAACCTAAATACAACAATAACAATCTGACTGTCTGATAAAATAAATCAGACTGATCTAAACTAACTTCATGAACCAAGACGACTGATAAGTGTAACAGCTGTATGAGAATCTCAGCACCTCTGAGGACTTGATGTTTTCTGTTGACTGAAGTGATGAGAAGTAAAACTCCTGCAGCAAACACACATAAATAATGATAATAGCCATGTTAAAGCTGTTTTTTTATTTCATCATCATAAAAATAAACAGTAACTGTGGCACAAACAGAAGTTCTACAATGTCACACTGTCACTGTGTTATAATAATATATATAACAGAACTAATCTGACGGTCTGACAGAGCAGACATAAAACACCACCATGACAAGAATCAACTAGGCAACAAACAAACCCCTGACGAGAGCCTAATCAATCTGACTGACTCTTGTTCGTTCATAACAACACATAGCGGGTGAGGCCTCCCCCCCGTAGCTCCTTCAGACGATGACAGTGTCGCAGCATGTTCAGGATCCCCTGAAACCGTTTGTCCACCTTCATCTGAGTGAACTCCCGAATGTCATCCTCCACCACGAAGTACTGACCTGCAAGACAACAACAAAGCAGAGGCACCACAGTCCAGTCATTCTGTATTTTGACTGTCCAGTGTTTCCCCTGGGTCTGAAATATACTTGTGGTGGTAGCTGGCGAAAAGGGCCGGTATTACCTGCTGGCACAAAGGGTCTACTACATGTGACAAACAACAAATAAGTGTGACATTTAACACAATATTTTGAATTACTGAATACTTCTATTAACTTCACAAACAACAACATGATTAACTGGACAGGGGCCACGAGGTGAAATGCTGCCCCCTATGGAGGTGGAGCAAGTAGAACGATCTTACACATTACACCTTTAAGTGGGAGTGGGCTACAAAGCCCCCCAACATCCAGTCTGCATCGATGCAAACTTACTAACCACACTCCTAGACAAGTGCAGCACTGCTTTGAGTCTGGGATGGATGAAATGCCATATATCTACTAATGTGAGTTCCGTGTTTTTATTTCCAAAGGACAAGCCATAAATGACCTCAAACAGACATTTTATAGACTATTTTCATGCACACATGACAAAATTAGATGTTACACTGTATTTTGGAATGAACATGGCGATGTGTATCACAAAAAAATGGGGTGTTTATTTGTTTGACTTGATATTTGAAAATTAAACTGATGTCTAAATCTAATTATAACCTTATTTTTTCAACAAACAAAAACATGTTCAGTAAAAACAAAATGTGGCCAAAGAAGCATGGGAGTGAATTTTTTTTTTTTTACTCAACTCATAATTTTCCTCTCACAAGCTAACTATGACATGAATGTGTTGAGGGCCATGTCATTGCCCACAGACCTACACCTCTGTTAATGCTGTCTATATGATTATCTTTTAGATAAATATTGATTTAATCACACATTATTTTGGGTAACAATCGATTTCCTGTTTCTGGAGAAAGGTGAGGGCATCCCAAAGCTTACTGTTGTATTTATACCCTCCCCCTTAATGAAGAGACCCTCCACAGCTGGAAGTGTGACTCCACATGGTGTTACACTCTATCTCTGAGTGGGAGTGTGTAGGGACTGGATTGGAATTGGGCCAAGGAGGTGCTTTACCTGGTCTGTGCTTGTAAAATAGCCACGTCTACTAATGTATGTTTCTCTCTCCCTGTGTGTTTCTCTGCAGAGCATGTGTGATTGTCAGTAGACCTTTCTTGTGATAGCAGAACGAACAGGAGGGGTAGAGGGAGGGGAGATTAGGAAGGTGTCTTTCTGTCGGATGGATAAAAACAAAAAAAAGGGTTGCCAAATATACATTGGCGGCCGTTAACATACAGGGCGCCGCACCCAAGTAAAGTCTATGCGTGGAAAACACTGCTGTCAGCTAGTCTTCTCCAGGACACTGACCTGATATGACCTGGTCTGACCGGATGTGATCTTGTCAGACCAGGTCAGATACACTTCAGGGTTCAGATGCATAAAACTGTGAGATTCATGACTAAAACTCTATGTATCCTTCTGGTTTTGAGCGTACACAAACATTCTTTCCATCAGAATTATAAAGCCGTGCGATCGCATGGTTCAGCATTATAAATCTCACTCATTGAGAAATTGGACGCACATGCACAAGCCCCATTTCCAAGCCAATTTTCTCGTGTTCTATGAAGCTGCAGTGTGGAATTTTCTCTGCTGCTGAAAGTCATGACTGAATGAATGAATGAAGTTTACATTAAATTCACAACATGATAATGGTAATAAATAATCTCACTGGTATATGGGTGTATAGTATCAGATCACAGTCCCGTCAGATTCAGGTCTGAACCTGATAACATGTACTGTCTCATGTCACTGTTCAGACCAGTCACACACAGTGACATGGCTGTACCTGTGTACCTTTAGTGTGTTTGGTCTCCTGCTCCTTGAAGCGCTGATGCAGCTTTCGAGCATGATTGTGCAGAGTCTTCAGAGACTGGTGGAGGATCTTATACTTGGCTGTTACAGCTGTGTTGATGCTCTGCACAGCAGCATTGAGCTGGTCATATGATACACGTCCTTTCATGTACCTGAGAGAGACACAAACATTTATATATACAGTATAATACTCTCTCTCTCTCTCTCTCTCTCTATATATATATATATATATACATACATACATATACACATACACATACACATACACATACACACACACACACCGGCCACTTTATTAAGTACAGCTGTTTAACTTCTCGTTAACGCAAATATCTAATAGGCTAATCACATGGCAGCAACTCAACAGAAAATGCCTTGTTGATCCCAGAGGTCAGAGGAGAATGGTCAGACTGGTTCGAGCTGATAGAAAGGCAACAGTAACTCACACAACCACTCATTACAACCAACGTTGGCAGAAGAGCATCTCTGAACGAACAACACGTCGAACACTGAAGCAGAAGATCACACTGGGTGCCTGAAACTGAGATAACAATTCACACAGGCTAACCAACATTGGACAAAAGAAGAATGGAAAAATGTTGCCTGGTCTCATGAGTCTCGATTTCTGCTGCGACATTCAGATGGTAGGATCAGAATTTGGTGCAAACAACATGAAAGCATGGATCCATCCTGCCTTGTATCAACTGTTCAGGCTGGTGGTGGTGTAATAGTGTGGGGAATATTTTCTTAGCACACTTTGGGCCCCTTAGTACCAATTGAGCATAGTTTAAATTCCACAGCCTACCTGAGTATTGTTGCTGATTATGTCCATCCCTTTATGACCACAGTGTACCCATCTTCTGATGGCTACTTCCAGCAGGATAACGCACCATGTCACAAGCTCAAATCATCTCAAACTGGTTTCTTGAACATGACAATGAGTTCACTGTACTCAAATAGCCTCCACAGTCACCAAATCTCAATCCAATAGAGCATCTTTGGGATGTGGTGGAACGGGAGATTCGCATCATGGATGTGCAGCCAACAATATGGACAAAACCTCTGAGGAATGTTTCCAGCACCTTGTTGAATCTATGCCATGAAGAATTAGGGCAGTTCTGAAGGCAAAAAGGGGGTCCAACCTGGTACTAGCAAGGTGTACCTAATAAAGTGGCTGGTAAGTATATTTATACATAGAACATTTCATCTCTTTAGCACGTTATATCCACATGTGGGTCCAACAGTGTGAAACTGGTCAGATGTTGATCTGAGATCAAAAGTCCAGTGGCGGGCCGTGCATTTCACACCTAGGCCTTCACTGATGTCCTACTTAGTCCGACTTCAATAAATACCTCTCATAATACCATCATTTATGACACCACGACTGGAGAAATAGTATACAGAAACACACTTACGCACTACTGGGCATTGCATCACCTCAATTGTGTACAAAACGGGCTATTTTCCGGCGCATTTAAAAATTAATAAACCCACATTAGCAATTAAAACATATCTATGTGGTACTGTCAAAACTTAAAAATAAAAAGGTATTTAAAATTATCTGTCCAAAAAGTTTTAAGTCCACAAAGAATAGGCAAGCTTTAACAAGATAGTACACTAAATTGCAAAATCGCAGTTTAATATTCTGTTTTTCTTCACCATTTCATTGCGCAGCTGTTTCCCTGCGTACCTGTTCGTTAAACTGTGTATCCACACGGGTGTCCCCAAATGTTTTTAAAAGCACCGTAGCTTGCAAGTGTCCAGTCTTGCTTTGGTGTCTCGTTGCTGCCTTGGTTAAACAATTTAAGTTCGCAAATTCAGTGTAGCTCCACACACCAACTCGATCCTTTGCAAACAAAAGGCATTCCCAGCAGAACAGTTTGCAGCGCAATCGGAGCCGTAAACCAGGGGTACCGCTCGTAGTTGCTTGCTTGGAAGTGGCGGACAAACCCTTTCCCCGCCTGGGACAGGTTAGCTAGCTCGGGGTCGGCCGACCTTGTCTCACGAGATTTAGCTTCTCTTGAAAGGTCCCGTCTTGAAAATGCTTTGCAAGTATATCTGCAACCAAATCGACTTTTTGCCCTCCGTCGGCCATTGTGGGTTAAAAAAGTAAGTAGATATATTAGATTTCTCTGCTAACGGTCCCTGGGTGTGGCTCTGATGCGACTCGGTTGATCTGCATAGTCTTGGCGGCTCTCACAAGTGAGTATCCAATCACAGGACGCGTACATGTCACGTTCAACGTGAGGCCAGCTAGAAGGCCTTACTGTCAACAACTCGTGATCTGATTGGCTATCGCAACTATCTATCAACTCTATGTGCCCGTTCACTTACAGTGCACAGACGCCCGCATTGTTGTTTCTGAAGGCCTCGGCAGATTTCATACAGCGTGGCAACACAAGCTAGCTGAATTCTGATTGGATAAAAACTCTAACCTAAAAACAACAACACTGGAAGGAGCATAATATGACATGAACAGAATATGAAGAATACTTTTATATATTTAGGGAAGGTAAGTTAAAAATTGAATTAACTTTTATCATAATTATGATGATGATGATTTCTGATTATGTTAGGCCAGCAGAGAAGGCCTTGCTGGCCCTGACGGCCCACCACTGCAAAAGTCATAATCATGAGAAAAGAAAATGTCTAAAATAACATGTGTTACATCACATGCTGCTGTGATGTTCATGACATGTGAGTGAGAGACACAGCTGATCAAACTTCATCTGTCTAACCAGAAACAGCTCCCTTCCTCTGGAGCAGTTTCCTGCTTGTTAGGAGATGAGCTCTGTTGCTGGTTCACAGCAGGTGCCTCAGTGTCAATGCCACATAGACTACACACAGTCAGCACACAGTCTCTCTCCATCTGTCTCCTCATCTTATCATTAGATGAACATGTAGGATACCAGTGAGGGATACTTACTGAGGGATGCCATCAAACTCTGGCATGGTAATGAACTCCACCTCTCTGACATGGGTCTTGGTCTTTCTGACGGTCTCTGTCTGGGTGATGTGAACATCTGCTGCCTCTTCCTTCTTCTTCACAGGTTCATTTCCACTGAGAGAGGAGAGGAGTGTCATACAGCACAGTTCTCTATCAGCACCATAATGTTCATATCCTCTGATTAACTGTCCTCAGGTGTTTCCTTCTCTTCAAACTGTCACCTCTCCCCGTTTTCCTCCTGTTCTGAACCGCGTTCTTTGAGTTCTGTCTTTAGATCCTCAAAAACCCTTTGACAGCACTGTCATTGTGATTTTGAGCAACACACATAAACCTGGTTTTGTGACCCTCTTCTATGACCAGGTTTTATACTATGTCTCTGTATGTGATATGTTGTTTTTTAATTTAAGTCTTCAGGGTCTGAACTAATGATTTGATATTAAATATTAAAGAGAATGACAGTTGGAGTGTCCTCACCTTCCTGCGCCTTTCTTCCTGGGCATGTGTGCAGGGATGTTGTCCTTCATGTGTTGAACGTCCTTCATATCATTCTGGAAAAACTGGTCAACTTCCTGCAACACAAACAAGTGATTTGTGTTTCTTCATGAAGTCCAGATAAAAAGTATCTGGACAGTTTTTGTTCTTCAGCCTCACCTCATTCAGTTTGAAATACAGTAATTGTGACTGATTATATATATATTAATAATATAATTATTAAAAGACTAATTCTCTCTGTTTGAAATGGATCGTATATTAAAGAGGAGGTTTACATCAGTATAGACAAAACTGTGTTCAGTGTTTCCCACAGGCCTTAAATATAAGCAGACCAAAAGGGCCGGTATTAGCTGCTGGCACAAAAGGTATACTACATGTGACAAACAACAAATACTTATGACCTTTAACACAATAGTTTCAGTCACAATTTTTTGTCGATTGATGTTTTTTATTCTACGTCGTTGTCTTGTCTGACGATGGAGAACATAATGTACACAAAGGAAGAACTCCTGGCTTTAAAGTTTACTAGATATGGAGTTAAAAATCCCATACCGGCTGAGCTGAAGAAGCCGTACCGTGGATGCCGAGGCTAAGCTAAAGGCTAGTACATGTACATATAAGCCCTTTCTACCATCGATCCTCATGGGAAATGTCAACTCCCTGGCTAACAAGTGTGATGAACTGGAGGCACTTGTGAAGAACCAGCGAGCATATCGTGAGTGTAGTCTCATGTGTTTCACGGAGACCTGGTTAAACGACAACACCCCCGACCGTTGTGTGGATTTACCCGGCTTCACTACAGTACGAGCGGACAGAGACGCCAGAGCAAGTGGAAAGAATAAAGGTGGAGGACTGGTTGTGCTTGTGAACAATAGATGGTGCAACCCTGGTCATATCACAGTTATGGAGAAGATCTGCTGTTGGGATATTTAACTGTTGGCAGTTGGTCTTAGACCGTACTATGTACTGAGGGAGTTCTCACACATCATTGTCATTATCAGTGTTTCCTCTACATTCACAGCTGCCACGCCTTCAAATTTCTTTTTTTTTTTTTTTTTTATTGTCGCAAATGCACCACCGCCACATCTCTCCACCTTCACAGCACAGCCTGTGTGATGATGAGCGCAACAGCGGGGGGAGGGGAGGGAGGGAGTGGGGTGGTTGGGGGATCCTATTGGAGTTAATTACTCGCGAGAGTGCTCTGAGCCTGGGTGCAAACTTTGCCACTGACTCTATAACCCCATCTAGCTGATCTTTATATGTTTATTTATTATTTTTATTCATTTAATGTTATTGTTTTATTTATTTTTTACTTTTTACATTTTCAACTGGTTAGAGTTGAAGTAACATTTATTTTTCACAAACCAAAGGTATTTATTTTTCTTGACATTGTATATGGCTGAGATATATATTGTAAAAGTTAGCGATAGCGATAAATGCCATTTTCAACTGGCCAGCCAATAAATAGGTTTTGAAAGTAAAATCTGCTGTCAACTGCCACCACCACCTGGAGAGCATGCCCCCCACTGCTGAAAAAAATCCTAGAAAAAACACTGCATTATTGTTTACATTCAACCACGAGCAGAGCCTGCAGTCACAGGTGACGTCATTCACAAGACTGTTGTGAGAGTACAGACCCAGCACCCTGATGACGTCCTGCTCCTCTAGACACGTGTTCATCCTGCTCCTGCAGACCCATGTTCGTCCTGCTCCTGTAGACCCGTGTTCATCCTGCTCCTGTAGACCTCTGTGTTCATCCTGCTCCTCTAGACATGTGTTCATCCCGCTCCTGTAGACCTGTATTCATCCTGCTCTTGTAGCCTTTGTGTTCGTCCTGCTCCTGTAGACCTTCGTTCATCCTAAACACAGACCCATGTTCATCCTGCTCCTGTAGTACTCTGTATTCAACCTGCTCCTGTAGTCCTCTGTATTCATCCTGCTCCTGTAGACCTGTATTCATCCTGCTCCTGTAGTCCTCTGTATTCATCCTCCTCCTGTAGACCTCTGTGTTTGTCCTGCTCCTGTAGACCTGTATTCATCCTGCTCCTGTAGACCCGCGTTCATCCTGCTCCTATAGACCTCTTTGTTCATCCTGCTCCTGTAGACCTCTGAGTTCATCCTGCTCCTGTAGACCTCTGAGTTCATCCTGCTCCTGTCAGCTGTGAAATCATCAGTAAACACCAGTTAGTCAGTTTAACTGGAGCCAGAACAGAACCAGAACCAAGTCTGACAGGCGAGGTGGAGGCTTTGGATCATGAGCTGTTCCTGTTTCTCTCTACACTTTCCTATTTCCATCATTTTGATAGAGGTTGATTTCTGTTTCATCATATCACCTTTGTTCCAGGACCTAAATGGTTTCTTTCTGTGAACTGCAGCCTGGTCTTTCTGTTTCCAAGGTAACCCGGGGGTCTGTGTCTTGTGGTGGATCCTCTGAATCTTCTGGTCTTGAAGTTTTCTCTTAACCTTTGACAAGGAAACATGTCTGCATTCATCGTGAAGAACATTCTTTACCTGCTGTGAAGACAAATATTTTTCTTCACCAACAACCTTTGATATTTGCGAGATTTTTGAGCCTCATCATCCTCTTCTTCAGCTGTATGGTCACTTCTTTACTCCTCATACTAACAGACAACTCCTCAGTCTGAAAGGAAACCATCACGTCTGATCTCTTTGTGTTGAACTAACGTTGAAATGAATCACAGCTGCTCGAGAAACATTAAGCAGCCAATTACCTCTGAACCCTGTAATTTGGGCTTTTTGTTCAAAGAGCTCTATCGCCCACACTGTTCAGATACTGATGTAAACCTGCTCAGATTAAAGCTGAGACTAGGCTCTTTAATGTAGTCTCCCTTGTTTTATTTCAAAGTGAATGAGCTGGAGCTCAGAGCCTGAAGAACAACTTGACTCTATCTTTGAGGCCATTCAGAAATAGTGCAGCTATTAGAGAATTTGTTAAGCAGTTTTACACTCTGAAATGTCCTGCTCACTGCACCATTCTTCTCCAGTTAACTCCAGTTTACCATTAGTTTAATTCCAGTTCAACACCAGTTTAACTGCACTTTATCACTAGTTTACCTTCAGTTTAACTCCAGTTTGCCTTTAGATGAACTCCAGTTGACCTCCAGTTTATCACTAGTTTACCTCTAGTTTACCTCAAGTTTAACTCCAGTTTACCTTTAGTTGCTTCAGCTGCTCCCTCTGTTGTTCAACACATTTCTCAAACTGCTCCAGAAGTCTCTCCAGACCAAAGAGCTCCTGTCCAAGTTTCTTCATCTTAGTCTGAGGCAGCTCTACATGTGAAGAGAAAAAAGGGCCCATATTAAGAGACACCACTTCAGCTTCATACAGAAATGAAACAGTCATGAATGACTGAGTCATACCAGCTGTTGACAGGTCCAGTATACGGTGCAGGGATGATATCCTGTTCTGGAGGTGGAGGCTGATGTCCACCAGCTCACTCATGTTCCTGAAACAGAGACACTTCATTACAAACACATCATAACCTGGTACCTGGTTAATGTCATGGACCAAACCATTGAGAGGAGCTAAGTAAGCAGTAAGCAGACGATGCTTAACAATTTACAACTTTATATAAACACTTTCTCTATAAAGACACAGAGGAACACACAAACACACACAGTGTTTGCACAACACAACAGTTATATAGAAACACTTGATGTTATCTGGGTTTGGGTAGTTAACGCCAGTTAAAACAGCGAGCTCTCTAAAGCTAACGCTAGCTAACGTCCAGGTAGCATGAGTCAGTTCAGATTTAACGGTAGTAGCTTAATCAGGCTCACGAACAAACAGAGCTGCGTCTCAATCCTTTATTACAGGTTTAAGCGGAGAACTTACTGTTCGGACTCACGACGCTGCTCTCCCGGGTCTGAATTTCAAATGTCAGTCCACACGTCACTACGCACGCGCTGTGTCACTGCTCCCTTCAAAGACCGTAGGAAATATCAGAATTACATCAGAGACAGTTCTGGGTGACAAGATCCAGAGAGCTTCACGTTATGATTGCCCCCTCTCGGTGGTGGACTGACTTTTTCAAAATGTCGTGTTCTTCATCAGTGAAGTGTGAAGAGCTCTTTATATACAGTCTATGGTAATTATGAGCTTCTTCTGAATGTTATGAGATTTTCTCTCTGTGAATTTAACCATCTCAAATGTATATCAGATAAGGGGGTTGTTTCATTAATATTTATACATTTTCATGTTCTTTCTCTCATCCTGTCTCCTCTTTCTCTGGTGTAGGGACAGACGTAAGGGGACATTGTTTCAGATGCCTACTGGAAATATTGTAATCAGTTATCTTGATATGGTGTCTTTCCTTCTATGAATGTACTTCATTGTAACTCTATTTTATTTTCTATCCATTGATATTCTCAGCCTGTAGTTCCAGTCTTATGAATGAAGAGTGATGTCACTCTAGTGTGTCTTAGTTGGTCCACAGGCATCAACCAACCCATTTAAGATGGTCTCTTCCTCTTGTCCTGTAAAACATCCTGAACACTCCAGGTGTAGACGCATATGCTCACTGCTGCTTAGGTGACACTTAATCTAACATCAATCCATCAATTCCTTGTGTGTAAAGATATGTACACACCTGAGACTAGAATATCTATCTAAATACAGCAGTTCTACTGTGGAGCTGGAATTTGAACCCAACTTTGATCAGACTGATGAAACAGTTTTTTTGATGAGTGGACATTAGAATGTGTTTCTTGGACCAACATCACAAGTATTTTTTGGATGACATTTAATTTTACATTATCTCAAGATGACACTTCTTCTTCTTTTTCTCTAATACACATACACATAACAAATCTGAAAACATAATATTGGCTTCCGATGTATTACTTATCACAGGACAGTGTGTGTTTGAGGGGCCCCTGGACAGTATTTATGAACAGTAAATGCAGATATTGTTGATTCATATTGTTAATGAGCATTATAATGTAGAAACCAGTTTGTGTACAAGAAATCAATAGACTTGACCAGGAACAGGAAGTGGTGTAATACTTCTTGTTACTCATTGTTCTGTCCCCACCTCAGAGGTTTGTATCTGTAACAGGAGCTGCCTCCATTGTTGATCTCACAGCTCAGCCTTGTCTCACACGTGAGTAAATGTAATTTATTGTAACTTTAGGCTCTTCAGTGGAATGATCCTTCATGAGTCAGATGACAGATGAAGTGTTATTGCCTATTCATAAACCAGCTGATGAATGGGCGCAGTGGATTATAAGAAAGGCTATATTGTCTATTTTGGGTTACACATACACACACTGACACTACTGCACACAGTAATACATAGGTGAAAGAATACACAATGCACACACACAACTAAAGTTACCATGCCTCTCTTAAACCTCAGATACTTAATATCAGCAGCTTGTTTCCATTAATCATCCTAAATCCTGCAACTGTCTTTGTCTCATCTGCCTCAGTCTGTTCATTCACTGGAAGATGCAGGGACCATGAAGCTATGTTTAGGTCTCAGCAGAGTTTTATCTAAACTGAGACACATTCAGAGACAGAAGTAGTGCATACAACATTCAACAGCAGATGTTGTTAGAAGACTTTAAAGCAGTCTGTCACCAATACTTCCCCTCTGAAGGTGTCCAGTACAGATTCTGTCCTGGCTGTAGAACAGTGGACCAAGTCTTTACCCTGGAAAAGCTACTCGAGGGGTTATGGGAGTTTTCCCATCCAGTCTACATGTGCTTTGTGGACTTGGAGAAGGCCTACAACCAGGCCCCTTCGATGGATCTTGTGGTGGGTACTGTGGGAATATGGGGTTCAGGGCTCCTGTATGACCAAAGTGTGCGTTGTGTCTGTATTCTTAGCAGGAGGTCAAACACGTTCCTGGTGGATGTTGGCCTCTGCCAGGATTGTCCCTTGTCACCAATCCTGTCTGTGATTTTCAATTGTGGTGAAGAGTGAGCTGAGTCTGAAGGCAAAGGTCTTGATTTACCAGTCAATCTTCATTCGAGCCCTCACCTGTGGTCATGAGCTCTGAGTAGTGACTGAGAGGATGAGATCACAGATACAAGCAGCTGAAATTTGTTTCTTCCGCAGGCTGTCTGGGTTCAGCCTTACAGATAGGGTGAGGACCTCTGACATCTGAAGGGAGCTAAGAGTAGAGCTGCTGCTCCTTCATGTTGAAAGGAGCCAGTTGAGGTGGTTCAAGCTTTCGTAAGGATCCTCCTTAGTGTCTTCCATTGGAGGTCTTCCAGGCAAGTCCAACTGGTAGGAGAGCTTGGGGTAGACCCAGGACACACTGGAGAGTTAATATATCCCATCTGGCCTGGGAATACCTCAGAATCCATCAGGAGGAGCTGGAAAATGTTGCCGAAGAGAGCGAGGTCTGGACTACTTTACTTAATCTGCTATCACGTGACCTGACCTCAGATGGTGTCTGAAGATGGATGGAAGATCTTTGGTGCAGCATGGTGATGATGATGAGGTGACTGTACTGGTCTGAAGTGGGTGCTCTGATCAACTGGACTGTAAAAAAAACACTGGGGGAGACTTCAGGTATTACATCTGTTTGTCTGTGAGGACTTTCCTTTACACCAAAAACATTTGTAAACAAACATTATGCTGAGCAGATATTTTCTATTAATATACTGAGAAAATGTTCGGACAAGTCACAAAAATGTTGATACTGCAGTGGTTTCCAACCTGTGGGCTGGGGTTACAGTATCAGTAAAATATTCACTTCCATCAAGATATTTGACCTCTCATTACAGAAGTTATTATGAGCACGGTTGGACTGAAGGTGGTGGTGGTGGTGGGGGTCTGCAGGATGTGCTCAGTCACCTGCTTCTCCAGCTGTCAGCCATGTTTCAGTTGTTGGGGGCTCAGATGTGATCTTTTTGCTGCTTGCTGCACCACAGATGAAGAATCCACATGTAGACCATATGTGAACCCAGAGGTTGGTGGTGAACCAGGAATGCCTTGTTATCTGAGCATGAACCTTTCTCTTCTCTTCCATTTGACCTAAAATGTGACACTCACTCTGGGTCATGAAGGTCACCTGAGGCACGTAGTCACCAACGTGTGTGTGTGTGTGTGTGTGTGTGTGACTGTGGCTTGTAAAGCACTTTGAGTGGTTGATAAGACTAGAAAAAGCTAATTTATTTATTAATTTGCTAATTTAAATCCAAACTTAAAACTCATCATCTTTGTGTCTTAACTTTCATGTAATGGCTTATTCCTTGACTGACTTCAGGCCTGGTACCTGTTAATATTCTTCCTCTGGGTGTGTCTCAGTCTCAATGAATTCATGTGGTCCTGAGATTACTGTAAACTTTCTAAAGACCACAGCCTCTCCTGACCCTCTGTTTGTTCAGCTGTACCAACAGAGCCTCAACAATATTCATTAAATAGCCTTACACAGTAAGAGTGAGCTATCTGACCTTATTACTGCAGTTAACTCCTGTAGTTTCAAACCATCCACAGCTTCATAAAGAGATGTGACCACAGCATCAGTGCTAACAGCTGCTATACTTTCCCTGCACAGGTCACTGGGGAGAGGAAAGATCTGATAATGAGAAAACTGGTGAATGCGACAGGATAAATTACTTGTGCGTGTAAAAGCCCTGTTCATTATCTGGCTGTGCATGTGCTGTGACAAACAGCCATGCTGTTTACCAGAATACAGTTGGTCATTTGCTCCTGTGTATGTGAGATGAGGAGTGTGTCTGCAGAGCAGCTTGGGTTTCAGGCCTTGTGGAAAATGCTATTTCAGCCATGTACAGCACGACAACTGCAGAGACTATCAATGAGAGCTCATGTTACACTCTGTGTTGATGGATGGTGACATACGTCAGGAGAGCTGCTCTCCAGCCAGCATGGAGGGGACTCACTGTCAGATTGGAGGAAACTGTTCAGGGCCCATATTCACAAAGCATCTTAAGGCTAAAAGTAGCTCCTAAGTGTGGGAGAAATTAGAAGCAGTTGAGAGGACTCCTAACTCACTAAGACCAAATCACAAAGAATCTTAAAGGGCTGCTGCCATTCTACATCGCAGTGTTATGGAAACCTTACACGATGCTCAATTACTTAAAAGATACTGACTCAACCACAAGTGAATAATGATCATTATGGAGTTTGTGAGGGATTAAATAACATCTCCTACCAATGGAAACAACCCGATCAGTGTGGAAATGAAGTGTTTGGCAACGCTGAGCTACTTGGCTAAGGAGAAAAGCCGATCTATTCACCAAACAATAAATGCGCTCTGACATCATAGGACAATTCATACGATTTATTTTAGATTCAGGTTCAACAACTACATATAAAGCAGCTTTATGGCAATAGCCGGTCAACCTGCTAAAAAAGCATGTAAAAATGATTGCACCATCACAAGATGAGGAAGGATTTGTAAACAGGTAAAAAAAAATCACATCATCAACACACAGCTGTAGACATTGTTGTATAGTGTCCAGGATCTACACGAGTCATGGTTCTTAATGGAGGGTGACCTGATCAGCTGTTTGAAAGGATCATATTCCAATTGGATGTCACCTGGTGGGACAGGGGAAATCTTCACACACCTCAACCCACACAGCAAAAATCCCAGTGTATATTGTACTCTATAAGTGTACATTTAACTCCGGTTTCAGTGTAGATATAGGTCCAAGAGTTCGGTGTTCACTGAACACCATCAAAAGTGTAAAACATATACTCCAAATAAAGTTACATTTGAACCCTCTGAGAGTGCAATTTTACTCTGTCACTGGTACTTTTAGACACTACTTCAGTGCTTTTTGACACTTGCAGTGTAAACCTAGAACTCCCAGAGAGTAAAATATATACTCTAAGTAAGTAATTTGTAGCACTTTGCAGAGCTGATTATTTAACACTGAGAGTGAGAATGTACTCTATGACTGGTG